GAATAAAAATGCATTTAGCTACCTAAAGCAATGGGAAAGGCCAGAAAGATAGACTAGTTGGAATTAAGAGCTTAGTTTGTTTACCTGTTTATACATTATATGCTTGACACTAAGCAAGTCCTTTCTCTGCTGTTGGTCAGTTCTGTGAAATGGCAGATCCAGTCTTCATAAACAGGGTTGCTCGCCCTTAGGGCCCTTGCGCATTCTGCTCCTGACGTCTGGAAATTTTCACCCTCATTTCTTTTTCTTTTTTTTTTTTTTTAACTTTATTCCTGAGTTTCTTTTTTTTTTCCTAAGATTTTATTTATTTATACAAGAACTGTGGTACAGGTCAGAGGCATGGGAGGGTGCGGGAATTCACCAGAGACAGAGTGGGGAGCAAAACAGGCAGATGGGCCAAAGACACTGCTGATGGGAGCAGCAGGCGAGGCAGGAGTAGAGGTCGGCCACGCCATGTGGGTTTCTACCAGGCCAGCTGGGAATTGAACCTGCGCTGCAAAAGCTGCGGACAGCTTCACAGCTTGGTGCTCAACCCACTGCGCCACTGGGAAGGCCCTTCACCCTCATTTCTAAAGCATCATCCTAGCTGATTTTTGTTATCTTTTTATACTCAGTGAAGATATCCTCTGGTACCCCTCTCTGGACCATCAGACTATTTGGTAAAATACCAATATATTTTAGGTAACTTAATTTTATGTTCTTGTATCCTATAGGTTTTCTTTCGGTGCTTGTGGCAGGCAGAATAATGGCCCTTCAAAGATGTCTACATCCTAATCCCCAGAACCTATGAATATATCACCTTGCATGGTATAATTAAGGATCTTTATATGGGGGATTATCTGGTGGAGCCTTTGTAATTACAGGAAACGTTTTATGTGAAAGGAGGCAGAACCTCAGAGTCAGATATTGATTTGAAAGGGCTGTGCCGTTGTTCTTCAGTAAAGAGGGAGGGACCAAGAGCCAAAAATTGTAGACAGCTTCTGGAAGCAGAGAAAGACAAGAAAGCTGAGTTTCCTCTAAAACTTCTGACAACTTGGTTCTAGCCCAGGAAACCCACTTCAGACATCTGATGTCCAGAACGATAAGAAAAGTTGTGCTTTTGCAAACCACTAAGTAATGGTAATTTGTATAGCAGTTACAGGAAACTAATACAGTATTTATTACACTTTCATTTATTTTTTCTTTTCTGTTCAAATATAAGCTCCATAAAGGTAAGGGCCTCCATATCCTTAGCATCTAGTGCAGTGCTTGGCATTTGTAAAATATAGGATAAGTCACTGCAAATTGAGTAGGCAGATATTACATACTCTGCATGCGATTTGATTTTTTAAAAGATTTTAATGTAAATGTGTATTTTATTGAAGTAAGGTGAATGATTCCATATCATTACTCAGCTTTTTTCCCCTGAGGCACAATCTGTTCTATGATTCTTCCCTAGGAGATGATGAAAGCAAACTTCTATTTTTAGCTTCCCAGACCTGAGGTGAAACTCTCAGCATGCCATCTACCTTTACCTTCTGAGCTGCCAGAGGCTCTGGTGCAGCACCAGCGGGGACAATAGAAGTAAGGGGCAGGGACAAGACATGAAGTGAGGACCCACACTGTGCGCGCTACTGCCATCTGCTGTCACTGCGCGGTCAGTCAAACGAGACATCAAGTCTTCCTGTCTTTAAGAACTCCCTTTGCTTTATGTAATAAATGTAGGCTGGAAGTTCATTTGCCCCTGGTCCTTACCAATACCTGGTATTTTAAGTTTTAGAATTTTCACCACTTTAGTGGTTTTGTTGTGGTAGTTCGATGTTATTTTTGCACTTTCATAATGGCTAAAGTTTTCATATTGTGTTTTTTAGTCATTTGAAAATCCTCTTTTGAAAGATGACTACTTAAGTCTTTTGTCCATTTTTCTATTGGGTTGTCTGTCTTTTCCACATTGATATAATGAGTTTTTTAATCTTGATGGTATTTTGTCAGATTTGATTTTAAACATTTCTCAAATTGAGGTTTGCCTTTTTATTATATCTTTTGATGAATAAAGTCCCTAATTTCAATATAAATTTATGTAAGTATAAATTTAATGTAAACTATAAAGTCCAACTTACCAATCTTTTCTTTAATGGTTTGTTTTCTTTTGGGTAGTGGCCTGCACCAAAGTCATGAATCTATTCTCCTATGTTAACGCCTAGAAGCTTTAGATATACCAACTACCTAAAGTTGATTTTTGAGTGTGATATAGGGGCAAAGATTCATTTTTTTTCCATCATGATGACCAGAACACTGTTAAAGTCACCCTTGTCATAAATCAAGTCAGTTAAATCTGTGGGTGTTTCTAGACATCATTCCACTAGTCATTTGTTTCTCCTTGGGCTACAACCATGTTTTTTTTTTTGTTATAATAATTATAATGCAAAATTAATTTTTAAATAAAAAATTTATTTAAAATTGCTTTGTGCTGCCCCTGGCACTCCAGCAATTTATCAGTGTCTTAATACTTGCTCCAGTAGAACTAAATTGGGTCTCTTTCAGAATTAAGTATTAATGAGACTCACTGCCACTATGACTAAATAGCTAACACTCCAGTAGCATTTACTTTGTATGAAGTACTCTTCTAAGCACTGTACAAACACAAACCCACTTAATCTTCCCATTAACTTTATGAAGTAGGTACTATTATTCCCTTTTACAGATGAAGAAATTTAGTCTGAGGGAGGTAAGTGACTTGTCCCAAATCACTCAGCTGGTAAGTAGTGGAGCCTGGACTTGAATACGGACTGTCTGCACCCATTCTGGGATCTTAACTGCTGCTCTGTGCAGCCCCTCACATAGCAGTTTATCTCCTTGTGAACCACAACATGCAGCCAGTAACAGAGGGCAAGTATGGGAGCACCCTTCCCCTTAGCCCATGCACCATCAATTATTCCAGAGCAATTACCTGTGGATGACTCCCTCTGGCCCCACTGTCCACTCACTCACTCTTTCAGGTATTGAAGAATTCATCAGGTAGACTCAGTAAATTTAGCTTAGTTAAACCCTCCATGTGCTGTGGCTTAATTTAAAAACCTAATGATAAGGCTCCTGTTTTCTTTTCCAACCTCATTTTCCTCCAAACCTCCATAAGAAGTGTTCTGTGTTCTCTTATGTGATGATCAGTAGAGAGTAGACACAAAAGACAACACTCATGAAGCTTATTATACTCACAGGTCCTAGAAACAGGAAGCACAGCACACAGGGCAGATAACACCACCCCACCCCACCCTGCACAGGGCCACATGGGGAAGCACCCGTGCTGGTCAAGAGGCCTAGGTCACAGCCTTCATTAGTTTCTGTAAGAAAGGCAAGCAGGGTAAAGTTTAAGACTCTAAGGTATAGGAAGGGTTCCTAGTTGCCTGGTACCTAGTTCCGGGATACTTAAGACAGAGGGATTTTTTCCTTCTGTTTGTAGAGGTCAGATAGACAAGGTGTGGCTCTGTACTGCTTAATTTGAATGTTCCTATTCTATTGAGCCCTTTGCTAGCTGTAAGAATTGGCTAATTGGCTAGTCCCAATTCTTCGTATCTCCCCAGCCAGAAAAAAAATTTAATATCAAAATATCGCAATATAGGAATATTAAAAATCACACTCATACTCAGTATTTAAATTACTTCTACTATCCCAACTGCCATTTGCTTCATGTCAGAGTACAAGCTGTTCCTTGCTTTGATTGCTCATCTTATCTTTAAATCTTAGATCAAAAACCATATTTCTCAGGTCAAAGCAATGATGCTCACAGATACAGTTAAGAGCTTTCCCCATATCACACCCTGATGGCTGTAGCATTGTTCAGATCACTGTAATTATTGGCTAATAAACTGTCCCTTCTACTAATGATAAGACCCTCTGAAGGGTGGGGTGTGGGAAGTGGTAAAAATATTTGAATGAATTATAAATGAATGAGGCAATGAAAGGAACTCTCCTCTCCAGAGACAGTATTCTACTTTCCTCCCTCTATTTTCTCATCTATTCCACGAGCCAGATCTACAACACAATGTGATGACAGCTCCTTCTTGCCTCCTTTCAGAGGCTTGTGACTACCAGAGCCGCTTCTTGGCAGGTTGGGGTAGTTGAAGTAGAAGGATGGTTCAGAATTTTCCTTTAATATCATGGAATTAATTTATTAGCAAGACAGAAAATATATACAGAGGCAGATATTTAAACTAAAAATTATAAAAATGTCAGTGTTCATAGTTTACTCACTGTGATGCCTGTCTTAATGAGTTAATCTGCAAGCAATAAGCAAACGTTATTCCCATTGTGGAGATGCAGAATGATGCTCAAGGGTACCAGATAACTTGTTTAAAGTCCCAAAGCCAGTGACAGGAGCAAAATTGAAATTCAAATCTAGGGCTTCTGTTACTAACCTGGGGCATTTTCCATTAAGTGATAATGTGCAACTTACATATGGCCCCTCAGCTTTTACTTAGAGAGAGATAAAAAGATACATGTTTTATGATTGCAAGCATTGAGTTAATGTTGTTTCTCAATCTAGAGAATGAGCAGTCTTTTCAAAAGACAGCTGTTAGGACAGTAATGCCAGTGAAATAAGTAAATAAAAACATCTCAACAGGGAGACTGATCTGTGGAATATTTTAACGGCCTATGCATTTGTAAGGAGGCTACAAAGCACATAGTAGCTTGTAAATGACTTCTAGGTGAACCTAGAGTTTGGTCCATTTTGAAATGATGAAGAGATTTTTTAAGTATTTCCAGGTAATCAGTAAAATTAGGAATATAAGACACAGAATACAATGACTTGGTGCTACAGCAACAGACAAAAGATAATGGATTTAGTGGAAAATTATACCTGTGATCATACAGTTTCAATTGTTACCATGTGAACAATGGAATCCACAGTATATTAAAATCTGAACACATCGCTAGGGATCTAACCAAAATAAAAAGTAATGTATAAAACTAGTTTAAAATGATTTTTAAAATGTTTTTTCTCTGTTCTAATTTATCAGCAGGTGAGTCAAGATATCCCTTTTTAAAAAAAAATTTCCATTTAAAAACATTCACACTAACATGAACTTTTATGTGGAATGAGAGTTGAGTTTCTTTCATATGCTTCTGAGTGGGTGGTTAAAAAAAAAACCCGTGCTGGCACATTTAATTATGTCTTAGGCTTTCATAAAGGCATTCCTGTACTGTGACCTGTAAGAAACTGAAGTTTCAAACACTTATTAGCCCTCCCTCTTTCCCCTCAGTCATCCTCAAGATTTAGGGAAAAGCAAGATTTGATTTTGGCATTGGCTTATATTCCTAAATGCTATTTCATGAAATATATAATAACACCAAATATTTTATTCTTTATTTACAGTTCAGAAATATAGACATATTTTACACATATTACACATAAGTTTTTACACAGCATTAAAAAGAAGGCAGTAAGAACTGTTAGTTTTGGGGTAAATGACACTAATTATACTTGAAATGCAAGGTGTCTTTCAAGCACCTTATATACAATGAAAAGGATCATTAAAGAACATACTGAAGAAAAAAATCACATCATGGAAAAGAGTCACATGGCTCAATATTTATTAATTATATTTTTAATTCTAATTTTTTTCTTCTTAAAAAAAAAAAAATCAACCCTAATGTATGAAGCCTGAAAGTTTCCTTAGGCAAAATCATCTTGTCAATATAACATGGTAATTTTACAGTTTATTTTGTTATTTACAATCTTTAAACTTTATAAAGGGCAAAACTTTGGGAGGGCTCTTAAAATGTTAACTGAAAATATGTATTAAAAAAACTGTATTGAGGGAAATGTCACACATTATAGCTTAAAAAGTATAAGTGACATTAGATTTGTAAATACACTCAATGGGCTGACCTAGTAATATAGACACACAAAGGAATTAAATTGTACCATTTCATGTGATGCTTACTAATCCAACAGTGAATTATCCACTACGAAACAGGGTAAGCAATTAAAAGGAGGCAAAATGAGTCGGTAATAATACATTTTAAAATTTCTAAGTAAATTTGAAAATATTTTTCAACATTTTAAACTATAAAATATTTAAAATAAGATACTGAACTAAAATCTAGGCTTCAACTTGGAATCAAATAATTTTGTAAAAATGATCTATAAATTACAAGGACATTTGTTCTGATTATCATAAAAAAGTGCTGAAAGCTGAAGTCAGGCTTTTGTTTTGCTTCATTGTTAATGCTTCTAAATTATGAGTTGGTAAGTAAAATACCATACATAATAAGAAAATATATTCCATTATATCACATTAAAGTCACAAAGTTATAAACCCACAAGTCATAAAAAAATAAATCTTTTGTATATTAAAAAACAAAAAAAATTTTGAAAAAATAATGCAAACTAACCTGCTAATCATGACATTTTCTTTTGCCATGATTATACGGCATCTTTTAAGTTACTCAACAAATTAAATCAGAAATCTTTGATCCACCAGTGTTTTAGAAGCCAAATTCTTCTGCCCTACTGTATTACGGATAAATCTAAAAATCTGGAAAAAAATTAAGCAATTCAGAATTAAAAGAAATTTATAAAAGGAAAATTATATATGCACTTCAATTAAAATATTTAAATTAAATATTTAAATGAAACAAGCTAATTATCTCAACTATTTACTTTCCTCTACCAGACATCTGAATGCCATGGTGATACACAGAATTACTTAAGTCTATTATCATCTTAAATAATATCAAAGTAGCATATGTTCCTATTAAGAATATATTTTGTTAATAATACAATTCCTCTGGCCTCCATGGTGCTGCTACGGCCTGAGTTCAGTCCCTGGCCAGGGAGCTAACCTACATATGGAGCAACAGACCTCTCACCCGCTGCTCCCCTCAGCAGTGTATTTCGCCTGTTCTGCTCCCCACTCTGTCTCTGGTGAATCCGCTCATCCCCCGCACCTCTGGTCTACACCCCAGTTCTTCTACACACACTCACACACACACACACAAATCCTCTCAAGTTTATAGAAATTCACCTTTAAATATTTGGCAAGGCAGCTTTCCTCCAGCTCTAAAAGCTACAGATTAGGGATAGAATTTGTTCGTAATTCTAATTTCTATCAGTGACTAATAAATTATCTTATTTAGTCATATACTTCCTCAATATAGTGGGGAATATTTGGGTAATATTAATAACAACACTTTAAAAACAAAGCTGTCATTTCTTGAAATCGCCATTTCAGCCTGCAAACCCATCTATGCAGATGCTTTTTGTCCACACCGGTGGGGAATGCATGAGTTACAAATTAAAGGGGCTGTCTGGTGGCTGAGCTCTGAGCTAGATGTCTAGGACTTGTCTTTTGTTGTGTTAACATCTGGTGCAGAGGGTGAACAGGACTGTTACTGACACTTCTGGCACTTAGGATATCAACAAATTAAGTGCCTTCCTACTACAGTCCTTTCACATTTGCTCAAACAACCTAGACCCTCCCCTGATGTATTTTCCTAATCTGAAGGAGAGTGTAGACTGAGGTTATTGAAATTTTACTTCCTTTTTGGTAGAGTTAATCATAGGACAAACCTTTACAAAGCCCCTGTTTGTAAAGGTTACTCTCTGCTACGAGAACATATATCTATTTCCAACAAGTCTTTTAAAAGAAACACAGACAAAAAATTTAAACTTACCTCTTGTTGGAGGTATGTAAGGCAGGCTGCTAAAATAAAACTCTGGCAAGCCAAATCCACAACACAGAAGAACAGCAGGTCAAAAATAAGAAGAGTGGCTTCATTTCCATAATACAGAACACTGCTGAAAGAATAACCTTCATCTATAAAAAAAATTATAAGATATAAGTTAGAAATTAAAAAATAGAATAAACCGGTGACAATTTCTGGTCATAAAATTTGGATGTTTAATAACAACAATATAAACTAGTTACTACTTATAATACTTCATGAATTACCAAAAAAATAAAGAGCATTAAAATTAGCTAATCTACAAGATAAGGAACTTTGCTTTTTAAAAGCAGTTTTAACACTTGCATCATGGGTTGGTAATTGCTAGCACTCTGAGTATACAGTTAATATAATACTTTTCAAAGACCAGGTAATATTCTTCCTCTATTTGTTTAGAAATTTAAAGGCTAAACTGAGTTTCAAAAGATTTTCTCAGATAAGGTAAGTTAAAAAACAAGATCTTCCACCTCTGTTCCAGCAATGAATGACCTCATGTGAGACTGAACGTATTGCACACCTTTACTGTCCCTTACAATTAATGCCTTATTGGACATCTCTTCCTAGATGTCCCAAAGATACCTCAAGACAACAACATAGGGCCTCCCCTGGAAGTGCAGCGGTTGAGCTCTGGGCTGCGAAGCTGCCTGCAGCCAATGCAGCGCTGGTTCGATCCCTGGCCGCTGGCGAGGGTCCCACATGGCGCGCAGACCTCTCCTGCCGCCCGCTGCTCCCCTCAGCAGTGTATTTCATCAATCTGCCTGTTCTGTTCCCTGCTCTTGCTCTGGTGAATTCTCTCACCCTCCTGCGCTACTGACTGTACCCAGTGTTTGTATAAATGAATAAATAAAATCTTAAAAAAAAAAAAAAAAAAAGGACAACACAGTCCAAAACCAAATTCTTTCTCTTCCCCTCACAACCTGTTCCTCCCAGGACGTAGGACCACCACTCACCACCTAATCAAACAAGCTAGAAACCTGGACAAGTTTGACCATTCTTTTTCTTCTACCTCTTTTTTTCCTTAACATCACTGGCAATCTCTTCTTTTTCTTTATCCACCATCACTACACCAGTGCAACCTGTGCCTGCAGAGAATTCTAGCCCAGCATCGTTCCAATCACCCATTCATGGACCTATCTTCCATTATTTACTCAACAAGATGCCCAAGGGAAGGACCACTGATCTGGGTACCCAAGGACTGGCACAACAGTGATGCTAAGTAATGTGTAGGCCAGGACATTGGTTATACTGGTTCTATTCTTATCAAGCCATACATGACACTATCATATTCAAAGTGATATATATATGTAATATACTATCTTTGTAATGCCAAAAAACCAGATTTAGGCACTATTCCTGTTGCAGATTATATGCAATTTTTTTTAAAGATTTATTTATTTATGCAAGAACTGGGGTACAGGCCAGAGGCATGGGAGGGTGAAAGGATTCACCAGAGACAGAGTGGGGAACAGAACAGGCAGAGTGATGAAACACACTGCTGAAGGGAGCAATGGGCGAGACAGGAGAAGTCTGCCGCGCCATGTGGGAATCTCCTTGGCCGACCAAGAATCCAACTGGTGCTGCAGAGGCTGCAGACAGCTTCACAGCACTGTGCTCAACCTGCTGCACCACCAGGGAGGCCCTATATGCAATTTTTAAGAATTTGGATAAAATGAAGGATTAAAGATTAATCACAAATATTATTCTTTATGTATTTCATAAATTTGCCAATGAACTAATAACATTCAGAAAAATAAGAATCCGTTATATTTGTTTTACCCTCTCTTCTACTTGCACCATTGAATTTGGAATTCAGTCTTTTTACTATCTTGTAGAATGATTATTCTTATAGAATGACTATCTCTTATGTTTTTCTTACTACATGATATAATAAAATGGAACAAAGAAAACTAATTTTGTGATGTTAACTAAATTACATTTCCTGTTTTTATGTGAAGTTATAACAAAAGAAAAGTAACAAGCTCTTCTTGTTCAAACTTTGCAAACAGCAATGAAGCTCAACAAAGGTATTTGAATGGTACCATTGTAAAAGATGCTTTTTTCCACTGGCTCCATAAATTCCATGCCCAGAATTCTTTCAAGAAGCAACTTATCTTTTATAAAGTAGTCCATTTCCTTATGAACCTAATATAAAAAGACAGTCATTTCAAAAATAGCAATGAAATGTTTCCTAAACTAATGTAAAATCAGGAGAGAAATGAAAATTGAACCGCATGCAAAGAAAATATGGTCTTTAAAAAGAGTGAATTTTCTACACCAAGGTTTTATAACCCGGTTTTATATCCTAAAATATTTAGTAATTTTTTAAATTTGAAATGCCCTTAATAAAAGTATTTAGAGCTAGATATAATGAAAATCAATTTATAACAAGCTTTTCAAGTGTACAACCATAGACTATTTCTACAGTGAATAGTACTATTATTTTGGTAACTGGCTAACAAAATTCTAGTGCAGACATGTTTTAAAGTAATCATTGTGCCAATAGACACATAAAGTTCCATCTTATTTTTATATAACTTGACTCTAGCCCTACCTCACAGTATTTACTTTGACAGCCAAAAAAAGGGGGGGAGTGGGTTTCCTAACTGACTTAATTCTCTGTCTTGGTTAATTTTTTTTAAATTGCATTTTGATTCTGTCTTAAATAGAATTGCTAACATACATACATGGTCGATGAAAGATCCAAGAAATTTATTCATAGTATGATACGCTTTTATACTCTGCTCAAAGGAACTTGCTGATGAACTCAACAGTCTAGCAGGGCCATTTTTCTAATGTCAAAAAGAGACAAGAATAAATTCAACATGTCTTACATTTGTGGTATTTAAATAACAGATATTGGCAATATATATCTGAACTGTACTTTATACAAACCCTTGTTAGCGTTTCATGAATTCTGTCATAGTGTTGTCTCATCTGGCTAGAAACTGCAATCTGAAAAGTCTGGCCATCTGTGTTGGGTACCAAACCTCTCTGGCTACACAAGTTTTCCTGAAAAGTTAAAGGATTTAAATTAGAATAAAGATTGTGAAAATGTGGTATATCTCAAAAAGAAAATACAGTTTTTAGCTAGTATCATATATTACCAGGTTTGGAAGTCAAGTGAAATTTTACTAAAACTGCATTTGAGATAAAGATTCCTTGTTACCCAAGGTTCCTACTTCCCTCTAGGTTTGACTAATTTCTGTTTTGGGATACTGTCTCGAAGGTTTTTATATACCTTTTATATAATATCACCTCATCTCCTCTGCCCTACTTAAAAACAAATTTCATATTAAGTTCGCTGTAACCTGAAATGCTCAGCATTTTTTATGAATCACTTTATCATTCTGTAAAGGATACCAAACATCTAGTTTTAGAATTTTTTTTTAAAGATTTATTTATTTATTTTTACAAGCACTGGGTACAGTCAAAAGAGCAGGAGGATGAGAGAATTCACCAGAGCGGAGAACAGAATAGGCAGACTGGCGAAGTACACTGCTGAGGGGAGCAGCGGGCGGCAGGAGAGGTCTGCGCGCCACGTGGGACCCTCGCCGGTGGTTGGGGATCAAACTGGCACTGCAGAGGCGGTGGGCAGCTTCACAACCCAGCGCTCAACCACTGTGCCACCGGGGAGGCCTTAGTTTTAGAATTAACTACAATTACAACTGCAAATGATCTCTTTGGTTTTCTAACATTTATATAATGCTTTCTGAATTAACAACAATAAAAATGTAATACATGAATGAAGAGTTAATGTTAAGGGCTAGAGACCCTTATGAGAGCTCCTTGACAGAACTTGAATCCTGACAATTATTAACATGTAAAATTTGCCCCCTTCTAGAAAATTTCCATTGATGTTTCCAAGTCAGTGCAAGTCCTCTTGCCTCTATTCTCTTGCCTTTATTTGCCTACTCCAGAGTTTCTTCTTTGTTTAAACTGAATTACAAACAATATAACATGTGGTTTTCCATGGACCTAATGGAAATACACATGTAGTGAATTTTTCTATCTAAAAAAGGGGAGGCAGAGATATTTCCCTGATCAAAAAAAGCACATGCTATTGCAGAGAATTTATAAAATATGGAGAAGTACCCAAAAAAGGGGGGCGGGGAATCACCTATAATCTCAACACACAAAGACACAGGCATTTTATTCCCAGTTTTGTCTAGGATATTCCAAGATGGCATAAAATAGGATCATACCAATTTCTTTTTCACTTAACATTATATCCTGGGCAGCTCTCCATCTCATTTGATATTCTATAAAACATGATTTTTAATTTCTGCCTAAGTACTGGTTTAACCAATTTATTTAATAGTCTCTCATTTTTACATGTTTTTGCCCTTATTAAAAAAAAAAAAACCACCTGAGATAAAGATCTTGAAATGAATTAGCTATTCACTTTGCTAATTATTTCCTAGAGTTACATTCATAGAATAGTGAGTAAAAGATAATGAACTCTTAAAAAGCTCTTGCTAAGTGTTTTCTGGAAGATCTGTAAAATTTTATCTTGAGACCAATAGTTTTAGAGTCGCCTATTTTACTATGTTCTTGGGGTTATTAAGCATTATCTTTTAAAAAAGTTTGCTAATTTGAAGAAGGCAAAAATATTATTTTTTTATTCATTTCTTTATAAGTCAAACATTTTTAAGATCTGTAAGATTGTTGGGCATGTGAATATTCTATACTAATAAAATAAAATCAATCCTTTCTTGATGCTTTCTATTCTCTATGCTATAGAATGTCATCTCCCAAATGGAAATATTCTTTTCTAGGTTTTTTTTTTTTTTTAATTTTACATTACACTTTCAACCAGTGTGATTTCTAATAGTTAACCAACTGATCTAGTTTAATGGATTTAATAAATCATTCTCCTTAGAGGATACAATTTTTATGTATTAAAATTCTTATAAGATGAAGGCATAGTACCTTAATGAACCCTCTTAAATTATATTTTTCTTTCAAGTTTTATTAGGGAAGTTTTCTAATGTATATAGTAGAGAGAAGGGTAAATCATTCATCATCCAACTTCAACAATTACCAACATGTCACCAATTTCTACCACCCTATGTACCAAAATCTATTCACCTAACTTTTTTCTTCTTCTTCTTCTTCTTCTTTTTTTTTTTTTTTTAAGATTTATTTATTTATGCATACAAGAACGGGGGTATAGGCCAGAGGTATGGGGGATGAGAGGCTTCACCAGAGGCAGAGGGGAACAGAGCAGGCAGATCAACTGAAATACACTGCTGAGGGGAGCAGCGGGCAAGTCAGGAGAGGTCTGCTGCACCATGTGGGCAGCTCTCTGGCTGGGGAGCCTACTCATGTTGTAGTGGCTGCGGTCAGCTTCATAGGTTGCATCTTAACTCCCCGTGCCACCAGGAAGGCCCCTAACTTTTTTTTCTTTTAAAGCAATCCCAGGTACCACGTTATTTCATTTGTAAATATTTCAGTATGTTTCTCTAATAGTCTTTCTAAAAACTATCATTTTTATACCTATCACATTAACCATTCTTTAATATTATTTAATATTTAGCCTACTTAATCTCCAAGATTTTCCCCATAGATTCTTTCTATAGTTTGTCTGACTTGGATCCAAGCAATGTCTACACAATGTATTTGATTATTTTGTTTCTTAAATATATTATATTACCTCAATTTCTGATTCCACTACTACCACCACTATCTCTCTTTTTCATTTTATACCACTGACTGATTGGATACACTGGGTGACCTGTCATATATTCAAGATCTGGCTAATCAGCTCCTGTGGTTTTATTCAATTTGTTCCTTATGCACTAAAATTTTAGTTTTGGCTAGCCTAGAGGTTTGACCATATTTGGGTTCAATTTTCTTAGGCGAGATTATATTTTGGGTGATGTTATGTTACTTCTATGACATCGTAACCGCAAGTTCATAATTTCAGTTTTCCTACTTTCTACTTGAAATAAGATTGAGCCAGTGTACAAATTATGTCAGCCCGATTCCTTACTATAGTAAATTTCCTGTCAAACTTCACTTAATTGTTTTAGCATCCACTGATGATTAAAGCCTATATATGTATTAATCCATTAGTCATTATATAAAATGATGAGCTAACTTAGAATTCCTTTTACTTTTTTCTATTAAGGAAGAACTTTTCCTCATGGTTTATTTGGTTACTCTGAACTAAAATTCATTTAGGAACTGCAGGATTTAATTTGGTTCTTTCTCTTTATCAATGTTCAGGGCAATGAGCTGGTATTCTAGAAACTTTCAAAAGTAATCAAAGAGGATTTCTTTAAAACATTATTACAAATCCTATATTAAGCAAAGGAAACCCATCTCTCAAAAATCAAAAAGATATAAAATAAATTCATACCGCTTCTCTTTTAAGATTCATATTCATTTCTTCCATATTAGTATCTGCATGCCCATGTACTGATCTACCATGAATATAGTACCCAAAGCATTTGTGGGATAACAGAAACACTGATATCTATAAAAACAGAAGAAAAAGGAGCCATTAGCAACTCATCTGTAAAACAACAAAATTAAGGTTTTCTTAAAATTGCTTCCTTTCTCTCAAACTAATGATGGTTGGGGATAATAAAGTGGTAAATGATAATGAAGTTATTTTGCAAAAGTGCATAGAAAAGAGATTGAAGATATTTTCCAAGAAAGGAAGACTTAGGGTTGATGTAAGAAAACTTTTCAGGGATTCTTGGCTGAGTGGTGGCATAAAAAATACATCATTAAGAAACTGAAAATAAAGAAGAAAAAAACTAAGGCAGTAAATATTAACTTGTAGCGCATTGTAACTATCTCTGGAATTAACCACCAGTAGAAAATTAGACTAAAAATCCAATTATACCAAATCACTTTCAAAACCTCTTTTAATGTGCATATGACCTTTAAAAAGGGAAAATAAGAGTTACAAGATAGTCAGGAAGTACTTACATTACTCATACAGCATAAATCAACAAATTGCCGAATTTTATCTTCTATAAATCTCTCATAAAACACAGCAAAGAACATGATCTGAAACATTAAGCCAAGTACACACTTATTAGCTTTCAGGATTTAATTTTCTTTTATAGCCACAGTGTAGAATCTTAAGAAAAAAAAGTTGCAACTAAGAACACAGTGACCTCTAATGGTTCCCATGGAATATAATTCTGCTGTCATTCCTTCTGTCAAAGGAAGATGATTTTGGAATTCTGTTAAGATTCATTGAGGGGCCTCCCCGGTGGCGCAGCGGTTGAGCGCTGGGTTGCGAAGCTGCCCGCGGCCTCTGCGACGCCGGTTCGATCCCTGGTTGCTCCCCGGCCACCGGAGGAGGGTCCCACATGGCGCGCAGACCTCTCCTGCCGCCCGCTGCTCCCCTCAGCAGTGTACTTCGGTCCTTCTGCCTGCTCTGCTCCCTGCTCTGGCTCTGGTGAATTCTCTCACCCTCCCACACCTCTGACTGTACCCAGTGCTTGTATAAATAAATAAATAAATAAACAAACAAATAAATAAATAAAACATGCCTCTAAAAAAAAAAAAAGATTCATTGAGGGATCCTACTTTGAGTTTTAAAACCTCTTTTGTGTCATTAAAACATGAAAGGATAAACATGGGGAGGAAAAAGAAGGTGACTTTAAACAATTAAAAATTTAGGATAAACTAGATTTATGTCTAATTCTACAGTTTTGGCCATCGCATACATCTCAAAGCCATACCTCTTTCAACCCTGGTCTTCCTTGACAGATAGCACATAAAAACATATCAAGTATTTTATTTCACCTACAGATAATGTGTTAAGTATTTAAAGATTGTGGTTTCATATGTTTTCTTAGATTTAATGACTATATTAATAAAGGGAAATCTTATAGACTTTTTTGGACATTCTTCAGAGAAAGACAACATTTCCTAACCAACCACTCTAAGGCTGTCCCCACAGATCCTGGTGTTCCCTATTCCTAACCTCCACTCCCCTCACCTCCATTTACTATTTCTCTGTGGATGCCCTTCACAGCAGCTGTCACAATTTGTCACTTGTTCTTATTACAGCATATCCCTCCTTTAGCACAGTGCATAATATATAAAATGTACTCAAATATGTAAATGAATAAATGAAGCAGGGGCCTCCCTGGTGGTGCAGGTGGTTGAGTGCAGCGCTGTGAAGCTGTCTGCAGCCTCTGCAGTGCTGGTTTGATCCCCGCCGGCCTCGGAGCAACCCACATGGTGAGCAGACCTCTCCTGTCTTGCCCGCTGTTCCCCTTAGCAGTGTATTTCAGTTAGTCTGCCTGTTCTGTTCCCCACTCTGTCTCTGGTGAATCCTCTCACCCTCACGCGCATCTGGCTTGTACCCCAGTTCTTGTATAAATAAAAAATTAATTAATTAATTAAAAAAATAAATGAAGCAATGGCAGCTCATTATTTAAAAGGCACTTCTTCCATCTAGTGGCCTAAAAACATTAATAAGATCAGTCTTTTTTTGGCCAACTATCAATATGATATTTTCTAATAAAAATAAAAGGAGGGAAAGCCAACTTAGCTTCGGGATCTCTTTCCTTTTTCCCCCTTTTTTATCTTGATTGAGGTAACAATGGTTCACAATACTATACATGATAGAGGGCAGCAAGTTCACACTTCCTCAGATGTGTATGTTACCACACCTCTCCCACCATCGAAGCAGCTATAGTCCTTTACCAGAGACCACTAGGTCAAGCCTTCCTCCGTGATCCCAGCCTCACGGTAACAGCAAAACACTTTAACTAAACACTCTGTAAAAATATTTTTTAAGCCCTTTTAAAAGAGTAACATTCAAATTTTCAAAATTGAAGAATACCACTTCAAAGTTGAAAAGGGTAGGTAAATAAAAGGAGTAAACAATAAATTCTAACATTATAAGAAACAACAAAAGGTTTTGTAAACAAACTTAATGGAACTATAACAGGTTGTTAAAGGAACCCTTAAAGGTACTTGAGGAATAAACACTAAAACTTTAGAATATTTCCATGGAGAGAAATACTCCTGGTCAGAATAAAAGCAAGAGAGAAAAACCAAGGAGTTCAGGTGGTGGTGCTGGAGATCGCCAGCTGCTGCTCCAACAATCCTTTCTCCTAGTACAGACCCCTCCTTTGAGTGGGCACAAGGCTGTTCAGATAAAAGATGTCAGGAAGAGGGATCAGAGGGAGGGAGGGAGGAGCACAGGGGACTGAGGTGATGGTGCACGGGTGCATTGGGGAAGGAAACTGTATGGGGACTACACCTGAGGGGGTGGGGGGAAGCAAATAGTTTAAAAATGAGCAATGACGTAAAAAAATAATATAAAAAATAAAAAAATAAAATGTGATATTGGTCGCATAATAAAAAAATAAAAATAAATGAAAAAAAAAAAAGATGTCATTACTGCGAGGTGTGGCCATGCGGCTAAGTTCCAGCACCTCTTCAAGAAGTGCTCTTCTTCGAGAGCTTTTTCAGCCATTATGGAGCAGGAGGAGACCTGAGCATGGGAGTACAGAGTGGCAGAGCAGAACAGGCTTCTGGGTCATGACAGCCCTGCATTGCTGACCTTTGTTTTACTATCTCATAGAAGTAATAAAGGTCACTTTTATTTGGCCACTGCTATTTTGGTTGTTGTACACAATCAAATTACGAAAGGCTGTAGGCATGCTATTCCTTTAAATTCTCTACATCCAGATGAATATGACCCATTCACAAAAACTTACACTGGCAAATGTAGAAAATCCTCTGACTGTTATATTGATGACAAACTATCAAACCCCATACTCTGTTGATTCTATCTTATTTCATATTCTAATTTTTGCCTTTCTTTTCTGATTATCAAACTATCTCTCATTACTCCATTCCTATAGTTTTAAGTTTGAACAAGTCTCACTAATTAAAATAAAACGTAAATGTAAATAGTCTAAATTCAGGTTACAGAAATGCCACCTGGTTCCAATTCTATAGGAATTTGGGGATTTTAATAATCAAAGTTCTATTAGAATAGTTTTTAACCCAGTATTTCTAGAGGTTCCATCTTCATTTGTTGACTTGAAAGTTAAAGGGATTTTTAATCAAACAAAAAGTCTCTGCATTGATAGGAGTGTTTGGAAACAAGAAAAAAAAAGTGCAGATATTAGAATTAAGTGCTTTGGCTGCTTCTTTCTTTTCTCCCTTTCATTTCTTTTTTTCCCTTAAGTTTTAACATACAAAGGAACAGTATATACAGATGTCAAAATACAAAAAAAAAAAAAAAAGATGATATGGGAAGTAAGCACAGAAAGGAGCCTCCACTGCAGTCATAGGACCTGACACTAAGTAGATTTAAGTTTCAGTTATTTCAATAAATACTTCTAAAAAAATTTCACAAGGGGTACTTGCAATCTGAGTGAGTTTAACAGTATCTAAATAAATATAAACAGAAGAAGAAAAGAATATTAAGGGTAGCTTAGCTATCCCTGCAGTTGTGTTTGTGGGTGCATGCACGTGCACCCATGTGCACGCGTGCATATGTGTGTAAGAAGCCCATTATATGACTAGAAAGCTAAAGCCCATTATATGACTAGAAAGCTGTTTTATGTTACCTGAAAGTCCCTTTAGAGTCCCACTATTTATAAGATAAACTCTGAAATCAAATTGCCTGGGTTCAAGTTCCAGTTCTGCGAATCACTAATTACATGAGTTTAGGTAATTATTTAATATTTCTGTCCCTCAGGATCCTTATCTGTAAAATGAGTATACTAGTAGAACTTAATTTTGAGGGCTACTATAAAAATTAAGTTAGTATGTGAAATGCAATTAATAAATACAGTGTATGGTTTATAAGACTATATAAGACTATATAAGAATTAGTTATTGTTCTTGTCAGCTTTTTTCTGCAACAGAGATCAGGATGTGGTCAGCATTTGAGGACAATAAGTTGTAAACAGTTATAGATATCAAGAAGCAATGCTGTTTAAAAGTAAAATCTCTTGTTACCTGTATAATTCCAATGCCTAACCAAAGAGCAGCAGACACTGCATATCTTAGGATGCGGCTATATGGAGCTAGATAGCTTGCTGGGCTTCTGGAAAGACTGCCAGATGAGTCCATTAATGCTAAGTTCTTGAAACCCACAACCTGGAGTAAAAGGAAAATGGTAACTTAAACAGACAGGCATAAAGAAAAGTCTTAAAACAAACAAATGAACCCTCCTCTAGTCTGAAAATGAGACACTCTTCCCTCCTCTTCATCTTGAAAAAACTAAAATATTCAAGTGTGTACAAACAGTAGAAAAATCTAAATAAAAATAATTGTTTTTAATTCACTTGAATATTTGACCGAAGCAGAAGAATGACTCGTGTTGTTTTCAGGTAACATGAAGCTGCAGAAGGAACTGATGACTTTTAAGCCATATTATGTTTTTAAAGTTAATTTGCACACATACATTTGCATCTGTTTTGTCCAATGTAGAATTTTAAATTATTTAAGGAGGAATAAACAAATGAAAAATTTTAATAAGGTGATTTCTTATATGCAGATACTTGATTTTACAATGTGTAATAGCTGATACACCTCTGCACATTTAACTTGGATTCTTAAGCTTTAGATTCTTATAAAAGCCCATGATGATTTTGTAAAAAAAAATAATAATAATTGTTTTTAGTTACAAAGTGTTTAGTTAGATCATATGTATTCCGTTCAATATGACAACTACAAGCTTATGGTTGTATGCACTAACAAAGCTCAAAAATATGTCAAAAGAATGAAATTTTCTTTAGTAAACTACCAACGAGCAATCAGTATTCCTTCTGTTTTTAACATAAGCCAGGAATTATGCAAAACATGTTTTTATACTTGACTTTCAAAATGTCTTCTGAGGAAGATACCTTCTTTGATAAAAGGATGTCATGATTAAGTTTGGTGTGACTAGCACAATCACCTCCACGCCTTCCACCCTTCCAGAATAAATTCTGACAAGTTTTATAGTAAAGAAAATCTACATGACTTTATTGAATGCAGTATTTTCCAAATTTTCTGACTTGACTATAGAACTTTTTTCGTGTAATACATTTTAAGGCTCTATAAAACATTCTCTAGCAAACACTAAATGAATTATTCAAATATTGTTCCTATGTCCTAAGGCTCTAAAATATTATTTATATGCCTAAGAGTTAATAATTCATGTGTAACTTATTTAAGCAGTTAATTCCTGAGAACACATGATTCATATAAAAGTTTCCGCAGTTCTGTCTCATATTCAGTACTAAACACTTCCTCTTTAATAATTTCAACTAGATCCATGAAATATCTGTAAAGTGATCATAAGCATGTACCCAGAGTCTTGTTCAGTTGTAGCCCCAGCTCTTGGCATAAAACAGAGCCCAGAGTGGTGTTCAATGATAATTTGTTGGAAAATTTTCACATTTTAATAGTGGCTTTAAAATAGGAGTGAGAATACGAATGATAGAGGGAGGAGACTTTTTAAAAAAAAAAGGATTCCTGGAGTCATTTCAGAGCTAATAAATCAAACAAAATCTCTAGGGATAAGGTAAGGCATAGGTGTTTTGCACGTTTCCCAAGGGATTGCTACAAACCAGTGGTTTAAAAGCTACCCCTCATCTACAGTCCTACAATTCAAAGAGACAGAAAACAGAAAGATGGTTGCCAGGGGCTAGGGTTGCAGGGGAGTGGGAATTATTTAATGGATGCAGATTTTGGTTTTATAAAATAGAGTTCTAAAGACTAGTTAACAATGTGAATGTATTTAATACTACTGAACAGTATACTGAAAAATGGGTAAAATGGTAAATTTCATGATATGTGTAGTTTATCAGTTTTTAAAAAGTCGTTCCTTTTTAGTGATTTGATCACATTACTTTACCTATGAAAACTTTTTCACTGACATGAAAAATTAGCTGGAATATTGAAATTAACATTTAGGCGGTACCGCAAAATTTCATACAATATGTCAAACAGTTCATACCTCCAAAAAGAAGAGGACAGTAAGTACTTGAAAGAGTGGATTAATTTTTCTCACAGTCTGAATTTCATTCCATTCATTTGCTACAAAATAAGTTCTCCATATGCTTACAGGAACAGTAGCACTTCGAACACCACCCTCACCTGGTCAGAGAGATAAAATGAGTAAAAGGATTTTACTTTATTTGCTCCCCAAGTGCAGCAAAATAATTTTGGTACAGTTGGGTATTTGAGTTACCTTCAACAGCTTTAAGAACCTTTCCTTTAGGACGTTCCCAATCGATAAAGAATATATCTATGGTAATTTGGGATATGAGTTTATTCAAAAATTGCAGAGCCTGAAAATGATAAACAAAACACCAAAAAATATCCACATTAGTCTGCTTGTGAAACCAAACAAGCATCTTGAATATGTAATTTTCACAAGTGACAAATGAAGTTACAATATTAGAAGTCATCAAATAACCTGGACTCACCAAATTCACAGAATTTTCATACACATGCTCATTTACCTTCCCTTCTTACATCTTTCTTTAAAATAGGGATACAAAAAAGGAGACAGGGGCCTCCCCGGTGGCGCAGCGGTTGAGCGCTGGGTTGCAAAGCTGCCCACAGCCTCTGCAGCGCCAGTTCGATCCCCGGCTGCTCCTCGGCCACCAGAGGAGGGTCCCACATGCGCGCAGACCTCTCCTGCCGCCCGCTGCTCCCCTCAGCAGTGTACTTTGGTCCTTCTGCCTGCTCTGCTCCCTGCTCTGGCTCTGGTGAATTCTCTCACCCTCCCGCGCTTCTGACTGTACCCAGTGCTTGTATAAATAAATAATCTTAAAAAAAAAAAATGCAGGAAAAAAAAAAAGAGAAAAGAAAAGAAAAAGGAGACATACCCTTCCTCCTCAAACAGAGATCTTGCATAATCAACTCTTTCCCACGGTTTTCAAAAGCATACTTTGGTTTTGAGATTACCTGACTAATTAAGTAAAGGTGTTTTTCAACTGTAATTTGCTTCAACTAATAAAGACAAAATTCATGCCTGAAGGTAGTTTGTCACATTGTAAATATGTCATCAGATTTTAAAGAAGAAATAATGCTTATCAAATTTCCTATACTTCATGCTAATCCAAACATATTTACAGCTTAAGAAAAACTATTTAAGTAGATTTTTCCAATGAGCTCTATTATAATAAAAGTAGACTTTCTATGTAAAGCAGAATAATTCGAACTTCCCTTCAAGATTAAGCTAAATTATACACCAAGGATTTTGAAAGCATTTTAAAGGTGTAACAAGTTTAGTAACACATCTTTTAAATTCAGTAACCTGTATTTTTGAAATTTACCTTCAGAGCAAAAGCACATCCCACATAAGTAACAAAACGTTTTTCCTGAACTGGCAATGGTAGAAAAACGGAGACAGACTTCTGTGCCTATGATAAAAATCACACCATTAAAAATGACCACACAAGGCTTGTATTAAGCACAATTTATAAGCCAAAGAAAACAAAAGAGGGAAGCTGGTGATGCACTGAATAAACATAGCACATTGGGGAATGGTGAGTTTAGCACCCACCTCAATACTCTTGATCAGAAATACCCCCAAATCAAGAGTTCCTTTATAACGAGAGCTTACCAGATATTCTGATATTGGCATTTAGGTTATAGTTAGAAACTCACTTTGAAGAAAATCAGCCAATAAAGTCCTGTTCCCATTGTGATGATGAAGAAAACGTTGGCCAGATCGCCAGCATAATATACTAAAAATTTCATAACTGCCTGTAATTTAAAAGAGAATTACAGCTGTTACAGATGCAACCATTTATACTATCACTTTTAATAATACAGTATTTACCAGTTTCTCAGGCTTGAAGCCTTGTTTCACGTATCCATGCATCAGGTAGAAAGACTGTGGCCACTTCCTAGATAAGCTTTTGGGTTCCTACTTTTTGGTCCATTTCCAATAGCTTTCTTATTCAACCCTTCTCATCTTTCACTATCTAAGGAAGTTAGACTGCTTCGTAATTTTCTCCGAGTTTGAACCCTTCACCCTAATCTAGTCCCTGTACTACCAGCAGAGTTAGCTTTCTAAAATGTAAGTAAGACTGAGTCACATCTTTCTTTTAAAAAAATGTATGGTGAATCCTCACTAAAATATAAACTTTCACAATCTATACCAAAAATGGCTTTTACCCTCATTTGCCAGTTCCAACCACTTACTCAATAACCACTCCACAGTTTCATTTCAATTATTTTGTGGAATGAAATGGACATTGTTTCATCAAATGTTTTTCCCTTCTCTCTGACAAACCCTGGTGAGCTCAGAGGGCAGAAAACATGTCTGTCTTTGTTCCCAGCATCTCATAGAGAAAGGGCCCTCAGTGACTATTTGTGGAATGTACTAATAACTCAACATAAAGTTCACTTCTTGGTAAGCATTTCTTGACTATCCCAAGCCCCTCCCTCTCCTCTGATTCCTTAGCACATAGGCTTTGGAATCAGGAAATTATCCTGGCACAACCAAGTCACTTGGTGGTTTTCCTCATGCTCTTCAAGAGCAAAATGGAGATGCCAGCTCTGTTACTGAGTAGTTAAATGAGTAGAAAATTTATTTAACCTCTACCACAATTTTATCCTGTGTAAAATGGGAATGATAATAATATCTAAGTTCATAGAAATATTGTGAGGATTAAATAAATTATACAAGTAAAGCTTTAAAAAGGGCCTGGGACATTGTAAATATTCAATAAATATTAGCTAAAATTTTACATGTAAATTTAAAATGAGAAGTAAAACCATAAAGTTAATAGAATAAAATGTTAAATATGAAAATTAAAATTTCGTGTTTGAGAAAAGAACATGTAGGTAAAATAACAGAAAGGTCACACTTAAAGACACTTTAACGTTGAAAACCCAAAGTATATTTATATTTAGAAAAAACAAAATAAGTCCTTGAAATAAACAAGAGAAACCAGGAACCTAAGTGAAATCTGAGCAAGGAATATAAACAGAATTCACAGGAAACACAAATGATTATAAACATATGAAGAGTTTTTGGAGCAATAAAAAAATCAACAAATACATAGTACTTGTACCACAATTCTGGCAAAAAATGGAAAGACTGGGAAAGTCAGGTGTCGGTACAGGTGTGTGGAAATGAGTCCTGCTAGTGGGGGTGCAGACTGACACACAGCAGCGTGGGAGGGAAATGAGCACTGCATATTCCTTTCCCACTTGTATACATCGGAAAAACTCAAGGAAACTTTTTACTCCTCCTCTGTGTCTTTCTAGGATATGAAACAGTAAAAAATAACACTATACTTTAAAAACTCCTGAGAGCATACCTGTAAATCAATTAAAGGACTCCCAATGCGCCTCTTCCACCCTGCTGTCCTCAAAAGAGATGATAAAACGGCTAGTCCCCCCAGCACACCCAAAGCAATCTAAAGAGAAAAAAAAAAAAGAGAACATTTTGAATTTATGTACCTTCCCTCACTCATTCATGTTAAAAAAAATACTCTAAATAATAAGACAATATTAAAAAAATGGCAGAAGGTCTGTTTAAAGCACATAGAAGCCAAATAAGGGATGGCTTGAATAAGAAAATAAATATTAGTGGATTATATCCCACTGAGTAAAATAAATATCCACAAGTTCATACTGTTTTTAAAAAATAATTGAATAAATCAATCAATGTGGGCAAAGGGACAGCTCCTCTTTAGAATTTTAATGACAAATACAGAAGAAATGATGGAAATGGAAAATCACCAATAAATAAATATCAAAGTAATCATTTTTACAGGCAAGAATCATTAATGCATGTTAAAAGTTAGAGGGCAAAAGAGAAATGAGAAGAAGGATAGCTGCATAATCTTAAAATTTCTCTCTATATTTATTATTATAAATATGGAAAATATAATGACACCATCTTAGCCATATGACCAGAAATGAGACATACTGCCATCAAGGACCTTCTGATATGCTGCACTGAGAAAGGCACAGTGCCACCTCTGTGGTCTCTGCACTAAAATTATATCTAGTCTCAGGAATATATTACATAATCCCAACTGAGGGCCAAAATAATTGACCAGTACCCTTCAAAAGTATTAGGTTATTAAAGACTAAAAAAGACCAAGGAACTGTCACAATCAAAGGAGACTTGGGAGACAGGATGACTGAAAACAATATGCAAGCCTGGATGGTTAAAACACTTGTGAAACAGAAAAAGGATGGTTAAAACATTTGTGAAGTTCAAAAGTACCTAGATTAGTTAATAGGACTGTATCAATATTAATTTCCTGACTATAATCACTGTCCTTTGGTTATATAAAATGCTAACATTAGGGAAGGCTGGTTGGCAGGTGTATGGCAAAGCTCTTCATTTTGACAACTTTCCTGTACATCTAAAAAAACCATTTTAATTTAAAAATATACTGTAAAAATTTAACAGGTTAAACTCACATCTGTCTGGACAAATGCTTCTCCTTGGTTCATTTCATATTTGACTGAGAAAGAAACCTGATAGTTAAAAGAAAGCAAATTAGCCATACTGAAATTAAATAACACAAACCCACTTTTCTATAAAAAAAATTTATAGTAAAGATTAAGAATTGAACTTTTAATAATGATCTTAAAATTGTATATATAGAAGCTGATTTATAATACTAAACATGTGAAATTTATATAATGTTATAATGCACTATTACTTCAATAACAAATTTTGGAAAAAGTACATTTGTAGCTGGATTTGATCATAAAGGACATATTTTTATACTATCAATATTACTATAGTTGACATTTACACAAGTTTAACTGTGGTAGAGAAGCAGTACAAAGCCTATCTGGCAGCAGGTTCAAACAATTCTCTAGTTCACTTCAGCGTTACTAGTAAGTAAAGCTGATAATCTGAATCTCTTTTTGCCTACTGAAGTGTGTGTCTCTATCAAGCAGGCAGACTGATGAGATGAAAATATACATGCCTACACAAAATAGCTCCTAGTTCAAATAGGCAGGAAGACAAAATCCTAACAGAAGCAAGGTGGCCAAAGAGGGAAGAAATTAGAAGCTGTATCTCTGTACATCCCAAAGTCCTGAATAGGGATGCCCAAATGCTATGGGACATTGTCACTGAAAAACTTAATTCTTGCTTTTTTACACTTAGGATCCATAAGAACTAACCTCTTACCACTACTAGTTAAAAAATGGTACAGATTTGGGCCTCCCTGGTGGCACAAGTGGTTAAGCACCACACTATGAAGCAATCCACAGCCTCTGTAGCATGAGTTCGATCCCTGGCCGGCCAGGGAGAAACCCACAGGGTGCAGCAGACCTCTCCTGGCTCACCCGCTGCTCCCTTCAGCAGTGTGTTTCAGTCAGTCTGCCTGTTCTGTTCCCCACTCTGTCGCTGGTAAGTCCTCTCTGGTCTGTACCCAGCTCTTGTATGCATAAATAAATAAATCTTAAAAAAAAAAAATAGTACAGATTTCACTATATAAAGAGGAGAGTTTACTTTAAATTTGAAAAAGGACTGTGTTTTGACCATAATATAACTTGCATCATATAGGGACCCCGATTAGTAAAAAACTCACCTTCACAGACTGCCTGTCAGGATCCTTAATATCAATATCACTGTAGGCGATGGTTATTAAAGGAGGGTAGATGTTTCCACTTTTTGTGTTTGGTACAAGGTGGATGCTATTTAGGAGAAAATAATTTCTAGTTATGAAGCTATCTAGGTCCTTAAAAATACACTTAACTTATTAATTTATTTTGAATTTAAATGTATAGTCTTGGTAATTTCAGAACCAACTAGTTAATGAGGACATCTGTTAGAGAAGTTTAAATATAAGCTAATGGTCCCAATACAAACTATCTTAAATGATCAAAATTTTAAATTTCAGGGGCCTCCCTGATGGTGCAAGGGGTTAAGCACAGCGCTGTGAAGCTGTCCACAGCCTCTGTAGCATGAGTTCAATCCCCGGCCTGCCAGGGAGCTACCCACAAGGTGCAACAGGCCTCTCCTGACTTGCCCGCTGCTCCCCTCAGCAGTGTACTTCAGTTTATCTGCCTGTTCTGTTCCCCACTCTGCCTCCAGTGAATCCTCTCACCTCTCTCACCTCTGGCCTGTACCCCAGTTCTTGTATGCATAAATAAATAAATCTTTGAAAAAAAATTTTAAATTTCACATATATACTCTGAAAGAAACTAGAAACTCTTCTTGATCTAGGATCTATGGTGTTTACATATGAAATCACTAAAGTACCATAAACCATCTTGGAGGAATATTCAAAAGGCAAGTATTATATGAAGCCTAGAAAAAGGCTTCAAGAGAAAGATGAATTCCTAACAAAAAATATGTGTGAGAATCTAGTTCTGTTTATGGCATACAGTGGTATGCCATACAGTACATTTTGCTGAATTCAATGCATTAGTAACACATGGGTTGTAAACTCAAAAAGGAAAGTGCCAAACATGGCTTCATCAAGATCAAGTCAGGTCTGACTAGGCTATATCTCAGTTTCACCAGGGATACTGCATTAGCAGATTGAGAAAATGATAAAAACACAGAACTTCAGGATTTCAACAAGCTATAAGACAAACTTCTGTACTCCCTACTTTATAAGATTGTTGTGTAAATCAAACTGAAATAACAGTGAACAAAAAACCAAACAATGAAATATTGGACCAATGCAAGATGATGGTATTGGTCAGTGTACTCAAGGTACACATCATAAAGTAATGGAGTAGAAGAATAGATTAAGGTTTTAGAGATAGAAGTCTCATACTGGAAAAGAGAGAAATAAGAGCTGCACTGTACCCCATGAAGGGTCATCATTAAAGAACCCTAGGAAGGAGATGTTGATAATTAACCAGTATTAAGCAGGAACAGTAGCTATTAAAGATAATGAAGACAGAAGAGGCCTGCCTATTACAATCGTAGGGAGGGAGGGTTCTTTCTAAAACACCCATTCGGTCCACTGATAACTCACCTTCCCTCTACTTCTCAACCCATTCTAATTCAGCCGGACAAAAGTTAGACCTAGAAAGTGAATTTTGACAAAACTAGTCAAGCTCTTCTGATAAAATTTTTCACTTGGCTCCTCATCTCTTTTGGTATATACCAAATCTAGAAATTTGGTATATAATCTAGAAAAATTTATTGCTGTTCCAATTCAAATGTCCTTCCTGTTGTCATCTGATAACTATTGACAAAAACTTTCTTTATGACATGGTCTCATAGTCAAATTTAGTGCATTAGAAGTTTGTTTACCTCAATGATATTTGGGTCGCAACTCGAATTACTCTTGGCAGACTTCCCAAGTCATTTTCTCGTCCACTTAGTGTATCCACTAAGAAAATGCGCCGCGTCAAAAGCCACTTGTCAGAGCTACTATCTTTTACGTTAAAAGAAAAAAAAAGAATGACATTAAAAAAAATCTTCAAATTATTCAAGACGGCTCTCAAGAAGTTTACTGAACAAATTTGAAACATAAAACTAATACATGTTTTAATATGATTGCAAAAATAGCTACACATATAAGAAAATCCTAGGTTTTCACTTCACTTAAATGTTTTCTGATTCTTTGGATTTTTCATCAGTTTGAAAGAATTTTCCCTGCAAATTTCCTTGCAAAAGTAGGGTTTTAAAATATGGGAAACAATAAAAGCAGCTAATTTTTATAAAAAGCAGCTCAAGGTTTGAAGAAGCCTTAATTTGTAGTTGTATTAGCATTTCTCAGAATACTTTTAGCAATAATATAATTTCTTAACAATAAGCTCCACACATTCAGGAAAAATGTTAAATTCTATATCAGCAATCTTATTGTTTTGCTTTTTTGGCATAATACAAAAAAGTCACATAAGAGAGAACTCATGACCTTTCTTGTAATTTGTAGTTATTAAATAATCATGGCTGACTTATTTATTGGCTTGAGCTCAGAGAAAGATAGTATGTACGGATGGCTTACCTTGGTTCACAAATATGTTACTGCGTTGAAGCTTTAGGTTTAACACAGGCACAGCCCAAATATATTGCTGTTGATTTTCATTAGTGTATTCAAAGTACACATCATAAAATATAGGAGTGGGAAAGTCGGCTAAGATCTTAGAAACAGAAATCTCACACTGGAAAATAAAATTAAAAAGAAAAGCAACCCAGTTGAAAATATGAAAGTGTACTTATCTTTAAAGGAATGTTTTTAAAATTTTGTAGACAAAATACAATATAAGCTAACTTATTTATATGCATTTTCACATGGCTTCTAAAATACTGCTACTCTAATATTGGCTGGTGCTTCTACAACCCAGTTGGAGAGAGTAAGCCTTCATTCCCAAATTAAGGGTACAATGGAATAGTTTAAAATCTCCCTATTCTAAGGGATGAGGTCCTAATTCTTTTTCCTGAAGTCAAAACTATTTATGATGTGGTTATCCCTGGAGCCAGATTTATCTCTCACTCCCCTCTACCAGTCTATGGTCCATTCATACTAATCCACTTGCAGTGCCTAAATACGATATACTAGTCTGTCTCTCTGATATGGCAAACGCTGTCACTGCCTGACATTCTCTTCCCCTCTGTGTTCTCGTGGCAAACTTGTGCTCATTATAGAAGTCCAAGTTGCACTATTTCTGTGAAACTTTTCTGTATATCACCCTCCAAGAATTGCTGATGGTCTGTCCTTTGTACCAATATATACCTAAAGAACAACATCATATTCTTTGCAGTTTATGTCTACATAGCTGTTTTCTCTACTAATGTGTGAACTACTTGAGAGATAACCAGGCTCAATGGAAAAACTATGTTTTTTAGTTTTGTTTTGTTTGTAAAGATTTATTTATTTATTTATACAAGCACTGGGTACAGTCAGAAGTGCGGGAGGATGAGAGAATCAACCAGAGCCAGAGCGGGGAACAGAACAGGCAGACTGATGAAACACAATGCTGAGGGGAGCAGCGGGCGTGGCAGGAGAGGTCTGCACACCCTGTGGGACCCTTGCTGGCGGCCGGGGATCGAACCGGCGCTGCAGAGGCTATGGGCAGCTTCAAAGTCCAGCGCTCAACCACTGCGCCACTAAGGGAGGCCCAAAACTATGTTTTTTAAACCTAGGAGAACACTGGCTTGAGTAAATAATCTCAGTGAGCAAATATCCTCATCTGTGAAGCACAGATTATATGTGTGTGTGTGTGTGTGTGTGTGTGTGTGTATATATATATACATATATATATATTTAACTCACATAGTTTTGTCATGGATCAGATGTGGTAATAGTGATAGAATGCTGAGCACATAGCAGCAGGCATTTAACAAGTGCTGATTTTCCTGGGCAAGACAGGTAAACAATATCATTTAAAAAAAAATAAGTTGTTTCTGATTATAAGTAAACCTATGTTCATGATAGTGGGGAGCAGAATAGGTGGATCCACTGAAATATACTGCTGAGGGGAGCAGGGGGTGAGACAGGAAAGATCCACTGTGCCATGTGGGTCAACGCCATGGCTGGGGACTGAACTCATGCTGCAGATTGCTTGCTAGTGCTGACACTTAACCCCTTGCGCCACCAGGGAGGCCCCTTCATTGTGATTTTAACAAAACAGAAATCACAGTTTTATTCTCTGGTGCGTATATGTATTTTATCAAGAAGCATTTTTGCAAGGTTGTAAATGTCTTCCAAACATTTAATGGCTCATAATATTCCTTTCTACCATACTATGATTTCAAAATGGGTTATTAACAGGAGGAGGTTCAGGGAGAGAAAGGAGGGAAGAACGGAGGCAGAGAGGAATGCCCAGAGGAGAGAAAAGGAAGCACTTTTAGTTACTGGGAAGAGGAAGGTGTGAGTAACATTTTTATTAGTCACTAAAAATAAATATTTTTATTTTATCCCAAAATGTGTAGAAGCAGATATTATATTTTAGACTATGTTTAGAAGCAAATAAATGATTATGGAAATCTAACATTATATGATGTTTTAGACTCTAAAGATGACAAAATCCTCTCTTCTTGCTGATTAAATAATGGTTTTCTATGCCTAGATAAAAAACTATTATCAGTCAGTAAAATTAATCATTCATTACTATAAAAAATTTCCAATTTTGAAAATAGAATGATTATTCTAATTATTGCTGATATGAAAATTGAAGCTAAAATATAGACTTTCTTAAAGCTGCTCAAACTTACATTTTGTTGATAGGTTGTTCCAAAAGAATAAGCAGCATTTAATCTTGTCTCTGTGTCTGGACAAAGCTACAGCAAAAGAACAAAAATTTTATAAAAAAAAATTCTTTTATAAAGGTTTTCTTTGCTTATACTCAAGATTTCTCAATTTCCAACAGGGACATATGCTTTACATAATACTTATTTAATATATCAAGGGTATAAAAGGTGAAGGGGCACCTTTGCTACAAAGTCATAACTTCAAGTAGGTTTAAGAAATTTCAATTCAAAACACAAGAAAAAAATCAACTTTAGAACAGAATTGATGTTCTATTTAAACTATAATTTGGTCTTCCTCATCACTGCCTCAGGTAAAAATAGGACACTTAGCAATTCTTTAACTAGAATCATGTTCACCTGTAAAACACCTCCTTCTAAATTTTGCCACTTGAGAAAATGTCCTCTCACATCATAGGAAGCAGCGACAAACTTCAGTTTTGTGTTCTGATTAAAGCAAAGCAAGAATAAAATGTCATATACTTCGAAAGCAATAAACTATTGAATGATCATCACTTTTTCCAGAGGTCAAATATTAAATTCAACTATTTTACCTAGAAGCAAAATGAATCTAAGCATCTCCATTATTAAACACACCTTAAAAAATGGACTGGTGTTTTTGTACATAAAGAACTTTTAGTTCAGAATTGAGGTAGCACTACTGACAGGTAATTTCTTTCAAACTTATTAAACGTAGAGGTGAGGGGCTAGGAGAGGGTATAAACTATTCATTCTAGAAGGTCAAAATCTTGGCAGCAAGAATTTGCTGGAGAAATGGCTTAGAGCCCCAACCAATCTTATAAAGCACTTCTTAAAAATGCAGAGATACAAAAAGACAGTGGTAGTTTTGCATTTGGTGATGAAAACCACCCTTCCCAACCCCACAAGTACTAACTTGGTGCCATAACTGCATAATCCAGAGGTATCCATATACTCCAGATAGCTAAATTCTATATTGCTAGTTCCTATAGCATCTGATACTGGTTTAGCAATATCATGTTTAAAAACCAAAGGAAACAAGAATCACAACTAGCAACATTCTTATAACCTTTTTTATGGATAATTCAAAATGTAGTTATCCTTTAATAATATAGTGACTTGTACCTGGTTTTCCCCTTTAAAACTGAAATTTGTTGGAAGAGGTGTAGTACTGAGTACTTGAGGTGCTAGTCCTAGTTGGTCTCCATAGGACAGCCATGGAAGAGTCTGTCTCCTATAAACAATTACAATTGTTTTAATAATGGGGAGACAATATTTTTTATTATTAACATTTGTAAAATATTTGGTCGAATTATAATTCATCAATCAAAATATCCTTACCAAAATGAAATAGAATAGATAGTATGTAATGCAGCAGTATTTTCAAAGATATAGTGAAATAGCTGACATGCATCAAAAGTATTAGGGTCATAAGAATTCATATTCATCACACACATATTTCCAAGAGCTTGGCAAGATGTTAGATTGGCATGTACCTATGAGAGAACAATGGCAAAGAAATGTAATATGGACTTTAATATCTTAAACCAAAGTTTATATAATAATTATGCTTGTTTTTAATTTTACCTATTAGACAAATTCTTTTTCTGTGTATTCTATTACTTTTTAAAAATACTTTTTCTCTAGGTAGAAAAGAACTTTCACCATGACAGATAATGTGTACATTTTAATTGTAAATTTTAAGCAAAAATATAAAGACAAACTATTGAAAGAAACTTAAGGCATGGCATTTAAAATAACTATTAAGTAGAACAGCTGTATTTGAAAGAATAATGATGTTTATGTAAGAGCTTTTGCATATAAATCTAACCCATTTTATATGATTTAAGTAATTGTTTTATGAACAGCAAAATAAGATCATTCGTTGAGAGTGCTCCACAAACTTATTTCTCAGTTTTCCCCATCAAGAAAAGGCAACTCCACTTTTACATTTATTCCAGTCAAGCATTGCAGTGATCTTTGTTTTCTCCCTTCGAATATCCATCTCATCAGTAAATCTTGTTGGCTCAATCTTTCAAGACCATCCAGAAAATAAACACTTCTCTCATTTCCATGGTGTGACCCCTATGCATAGGTCCACTATCTCTCACTGAGATTACTGGAATACTCTCCTCTCCTAACTGGTCTTCTTGCTTCTGTCCTGTCACAATAACAACTATTCTTCACACCAGCAAGCCTTTCAAAATGTTAAGTTTGATTATATCTTCCTGTGCACAAAATACTTCTATTTCCCTTACATTAAACTCCACGTCCTGGCATAGCTACTTCTTTTATCCTGAATTCATCTCTCCACTTTCCCTGCTGAATCTGCTCCAACTATCCCACCCCCTTTCCTGTTTCCTAATCATGAACATGCCAGAAATCTGCATTTATCATGGTCTCTGCTTACAACACTCTTCCCTAGATATTTACATGGCTCACTCTTACTTCAGGTCTTTGCTCTAATACCATCCTCCCAGAGATGCCTGTCCTGACCATCCTATATAAACTAGCACCCCCTCTTCTCCCAGTACTCTTCACCTAGATTTGTTGTCATAGCACTTAGCACCACTTGACATTTACTTAGACTAGAATGCCATGAGGGAGCTACTTTCTTTTTCTGAAATATATAACATAATTTGATGTTAACAGGGTCTGGCCCACAGTAGCCCATCAATAAATTTAATACAAATCAGTTTCTCTTCCCACTCACTTTGAGTTGAATCAACTTAGACATATCTGAGAACTGAAATAAAAATTTCTGAATGTATTTCTCTTTTAGTCCACTAGAAAGTATTTATTTTCTTATAGAATGTGACCAAGGAGATGCATCTACTTAGAGAGAAAACTTTTATCATCTGGAGAAAAATGGTACCACAATTCTTCAAAATGAAATAAAATTATTTTCCAAAATTTCAAACTTACCCAACAAGCAGTTGCTGATGACTGCAAATACTTTGTGAACCATTCTGAAGTGAAAGACATACCCTGTAAACAAGAAGATGAATTTTAGTTTTATGTCCCCTACACTATTAGAAAGACATTAATACATATATTGTTGAAAGGAATACTTCCTCGATATCAGAAAAATAGATTCTAAAAGAAATGTCAGAATTAATTCTTAACAATGTCAGTTACTACAAATAGCACTGCATTACAAAATCATGTCACTCAGGCAAAAGACATAGGGGGACAAATTATGGATAGAATTCAAAACACTATCATGCCCATTTCAAGGATACAAAAAACAAACTGGGAATTCAGCAGGATAGAGGCAGACTAAATACACTGGGCTCATTTCTTCTACATATTCACAACCAAATCACAATAAAACAAACACAACTCCTAAGCGATAAACAGATGACTAGTGCATATAACAGGAGCAAAAGCACAGCAGAAACGGGTAGGAAAACTGATTTGACTGTGTTTAGAGTGAAACCAGCACAGTACGACCATGATAGGGAGACCCTCCGCTGTTAACACAAGAGCATATCTATGCCTACTGTGGGGATTTTAAAAACCAGGCACCACAGTGAGGAAAGGGAAGTGAGGAAAGGGAATGTACAGAGTTGGTGCATGGGGCCAATGGTTGATCAAAAACAAGATGATCAAAGGTTGAGAAAATATGAAACTAGAAGTAATAAATCTAAATAATACTATAACTGAATTTAAAAAATACAGTAGAGGGGCACAACAATAGACAATACAAGTAATGGAGAAAATTAGTGGCCTTGGAAGCACGGAGGCAGAGAACATGCAAATAGAATAATAAAGAGAAAAAAATGAAAACTGTATGAGTCTTTGGGATAACCTAAAGAGAAATAATATCCATATAGTGGGGGCTCCAGAAGGAGATAAGGTACAGGAAATTTATTTAAAGAAATAATGCTGAGAATCAACTTAATCTGGGAGATGAACCAGACATCCTGATCCAAGAAGTCTAAAGAGTACCATACAAAATAATACCAGGCTGATATACATTAAAATTAACCCGGTAAAAGCCAATAACAAGGACAGAATATTACAAGCATTTGCAGGATCTGTAAAGACCTTTCTAGTCTAAACAATCTGATATTCACTAAAAAAAAAATGAGGTAAGATAGTGAAGAAAATAACTGTATTATAATGCATAATTACTTGTGAATCTATTGTTTTTAGATTGATAATTTCTACTTTAAAGTGATTTACACGTTAATAGTTCTCATTTTACTCCCAAATTAATTAGCAAAAATAGAAATGCAAAAGATCTTTAAGAATGGAACAAATACATCAAATCATACTTACAAGCTCTCCATAACGGGCAGTTGAAATCATACGTGGAGGAAAATTCACTGTGCTGCTGAAACATAATCCCCCTGTCTTCATAAATAAAAAGGGAAAAAAAAAGTTTATGGAAAGGTATAAGCCATTCAATTTTAAAATGTGTGCTTTAACAATTTGATTAGGCTTACTAAAATGTTAGGTTTTAGACATGCACAGGACCTGCTGGCATTAATGAATGTTGGTTCACATCGGATACACCTGTCAACATAACAAGAATAATTTAAAATGTTAATGAATTATACAAAGCTTAATTTATTTGAGAACTTATCTTCCTAAATACTGGGTTAGAAGAGATTCATTCTGTTAAGTAATTAAAAACAGACAAATCAATGCTGATTTGAATAGTTTTTTTAACCATTTTTTGTATTATAAGGCAAGGTGCAAATATATCATATAAATCAGTAATAAGAGAGCATTCTTTTATTTTTATTTATTTATTTATTTATTTATTTTTTTATAGAGGCATGTTTTTATTTATTTATTTATTTGTTTGTTTGTTTTGTTTATACATGCACTGGGTACAGTCAGAAGCGCGGGAGGGTGAGAGAATTCACCAGAGCCAGAGCGGGGAGCAGAGCAGGCAGAAGGACCGAAGGACACTGCTGAGGGGAGCAGCGGGCGGCAGGAGAGGTCTGCGCACCATGTGGGACCCTCCTCCAGTGGCCGGGGAGCAGCCGGGGATCGAACCGGCGCCGCAGAGGCCGCGGGCAGCTTCGCAACCCAGTGCTCAACCGCTGTGCCACCGGGGAGGCCCCAAGAGAGCATTCTTTTAAAACTACATAAAATGTATAAAACAAGTAGTAATGAGTAGCAAAAATGGTTAAATTACTCAATTAAAAGTTCAACAAACTCATAAATGAAACCCAATGATTATTATAAGTAGTTATATCACATATACTCTTATTTAATCTGCCACAAAGTAAAAAGGTAACATAAACTAAAAGATAAATAGATCTATCCCTCCGACAAATACTTTCAAAGTGAATTAATCATCTTTGTTTATGTTAGGAAAATACATGTTTTATTAATGAATGATAGGGTGGGGGAACATTGGACTAGTGGAAATATGGGTTTACATGAGAATGCATTAATTGCTAGATAGAGCTGGTAAGAGGAGAGGCTGGGACATGGTATAGAACTCAAACTAGGCTTGGGGAGAGGAAGACTTGGGGATCAGCCCGGTAGTCAGCTTGAGAGAAAAAATGAGTGCTAAGTATCCTCAGGAGAAGCTGCTCATGTAGTTTCTATCTTAAATTTGGGAATTGAAGATAAAATTATCTTCAATAATTTTAGAAGTCATCATTTGGAAGGAAGTTATCATTTTGAACTAAAGAAGTTGAAATAGGGATAATGTGTTTGAGTTAGAGAGAGAGGGATGGATATGTGCCGTGTGTCCACATATGTGTACATACAGGGGGAATGGGAAGTAATAGAGAACAGGGCTATATATCAGGTTACCCGGGTTATTACAATTATCATGTATTTATTAACATGCTTTTTATGTAATAACATAAAGCCTGGTACCTGGCACAGAGTAAGTATGTTGCAAATAGAACTTATTATTATATACTATATATTACACTATAGATTTGTACGAATTACATAATAAACAAAAATAGCTACATTTCATTGAGCACTTACTCTGGATTATACTAAAAACTTAATTTCTATGCAATAAATTGTGAAGTAGATGGATGGTATATCCTCATTCTAAAGACAGGAGACTATTTACTGGGTTAATAATGGGAGCTATTCACCATCATACAACAGATGAAGACTAAGATAAGATTTGAACCCTATTCTCTCTCTTTCTCTGGGTCTCAACTTCACATGTTAATGCTCAATTTTATTCTTTGCAGACTAGCAAATGACATGATAGGAAAGTACTTTAAAAAGGTACAGAGGCCTCCCCAGTGGCGCAGCGGTTAAGCGCTGGGTTGCGAAGCTGCCCGCAGCCTCTGCGGCGCCGGTTCGATCCCCGGCTGCTCCTGGGCCACCAGAGGAAGGTCCCACATGGCGCGTAGACCTCTCCTGCCGCCCACTGCTCCCCTCAGCAGTGTACTTCGGTCCTTCTGCCTGCTCTGCTCCCTGTTCTGGTGAATTCTCTCACCCTCCCGCGCTTCTGACTGTACCCAGTGCTTGTATAAATAAAAATAAATAAATCTTTAAAAAAATAAAATAAAATAAAATAAAATAAAATAGCACAGATTCTACATCATTAGAAGATGACATTCATGAAGACAGGACTCGGCACACTGCTTACCTGTTTTGTAAAGCATTTGCTATTGTAAAAGAATTTTCAGCACACAGCTTACAAGTTGCTTGAAAGAACAATGTTCCATTAGTATCTCTTTCCACTAAATAATTAAAAAACAAAATTGACTAGTCACCATATAAGCTTCTATATACTTAGTAAAATCCACTTATAATTATTACTGTAAGAATAAAACACCTTATTTTCATAAAAGGCATGTCAAGCACCTCCACAACAAAGTGTAGAAAGGTAAAATATTCCCCATTCCTATAAAAACACAGAAACTAATTTCTCAAAGCATTATGATAATAAAGTGATATTTTTCCTCTAAAATTTTATGTCTTACTTGTATGATCCATTTAGAGTGCATAATGTTCATGTACTACAGATAAGTTGCTGTAACTTAGGAGAGCTTTTTGGTAAAATCTCTTCAAACTTTAAATTCACAATGCTACAATTTCATTTTAGATAACTAACCTATAAGAGCACTTGTCTATGTGTATAAGGATAGTCACGGAAGCATATGTTAGAAAACAACCTAAATATTTAAAATAGCAAAATAGTGTTATAACCATGCTATGAAATACTCTGGTGTGGGTTAAAAAGAATGAGGTAATGTAACAGATTATATTGTAGCTGAAAAAAGGATGATGTAGAACAACATCTTTGGTATGAAACATTTATTTATTAATACCACCATATTTTCTGTGGCTACAAAGTTTATCTGTACATTAAAAACAGAAAAAAAAGGAGATTCTAGAAGGACACAGTCACACATCAAAATGATAATTACTTGATGGCTGAAGGAATAACAGAAGATCAGCATTGGGAAAATGGCCCAAGACCATTAGTCCCAATCCATAACGTTTCCATGTTTTATCCTTAACATTTTAAGTTTTTGCAAGGTGATTAAAAAAATAACCTTAACAAAAGCAAAGGTGAAAAATTGCTTCTTCCTATAGTCATCTCCTGTGTCAGTAAATGGCAGCATTATTTACTGACTCATTGACTCAGGTCCCATACTTAGTATCCACTTTTCTGCCCATCCACCACATTTAAAATATATATGCAAATATGAAAATCCAGTCAGCTCTCCTTTTAATATAGATTAAAATGAAGCATTCTCTCTACTTGCACAACACAAATGAAAATTCAACATTACTATGTCATAAAGAATCTACTTACCTAAAATATGGCCAGTGGGGCAACGGCATTTTCCTTCTCCAGTTAAACCATGAGGGCATGCAATGCAATTCCATCCATCTTCAGTAACACCATTCTAAATTAAGAAAAAAAATGATTTTATCCTTCTTAATTTACCCTTTCAAAATTAATCATGTAAATGAAAAATGTCAAGACACTCTACTATTTGCAGGTGATAAATCATATATATGAGTTACATAAAAATTTCTTGGATGCTGACTTGTGTTTATATTCCAAAAATTAAACTATACATTAATACTATGCACTGACTCTGGCAATAGTTCTTTTTTTGTGATTTTCCAGTTCAAATAAGTCCTTATTTTCATAATTAGTATTTCCATCCAGTTTTTCCATTTACAAAGACAAAACACAGCAAAACTCAACAGAATTTAATCCATAGCCAATTAATAGCTTAGTCTTGTCTTTTCTAAAATAATTACTGTAAATTAAAAAAATTCAAATACACTAGCTTTAAAAATTTAAGTTATGATTCAAAATAAGTTTTTATGGTATATAAAAATTACATGTAAATAGTTATTTAAATCAAATTATAAGGATATTTCTCTAGCTACTAATAGTTTCTAGTAAAGGTTTTTGTAAAATATGACAATCGTTCAAAACTGGACTTTTCACATTATATGGGTTAGGAAAAACCTGGGACAAAATTACAGCAAATACATTACAAACATGGATAGAACCAAAATTAATAGAAAACAATGGTAATAAGAAAACAATGCAGCAAATTATTTTAAATTTTGGCTGAAAAGATTATCAAGAAATGCTCCTATAGTGACAATATATTTATATAAGATTATTTTAAAATTATGATAGTTTAATTACATCACTGATTAATAAATCTGCTTTGATACATTTCATATTAACTGTTTTTTATCACAGGTAATTCAGCTAGGGTCAATATTTCCAAAAATATAAAAATGAGTATCATCAAACATATATGTCCTAACCATAAGTTAGGATAACTGGTAACTTTATATTAAATTTTCAGATAAATTTTCTTTCCCTAAGGTAATGAGAAGAAGCAGTACCATAAAAAAAAAAAAAAAAAAACTGGCACACAGAGACTCTTACTTATCCAAAATGATTGGAAAATGTATTGTTGTCCATTAAGAATCATCACATAGAGTAACAATTTACCAAAGTTTATGATATAATGAAATGACTAGTAAAACAGCAAAAGATATTATTTAACCTATTTTATAATGCAACTGACATTTCATGAACTTATTATACCTTAGATGTCATTATGAACCTGAATTTTTATATAAAATTTATATAATAGGTCTAAGGCACTGAACTCAATCTATACCAAAGAATATACACATCCAAAATTGACCTATAGATGCATCATTCATCTTTATTTTTCTTTATAACTGAGTTATTCTAAGAGGAAAAATAAAGATATATAAATTTTCATAGGTTTGTGCTTTTTGGATTTCAGAGTAAAACAATTTCAAGTAAAATAGTACATCTGGGCTTTCTCTAAGCTTGTATAAAATTTGACCCATCTCCCAGAGTTTACTCTAGTAAAATCAAAGTTAGTGTAGTAACTTTAAAGTCTGTGGGAAAACATTAGAGTGTGGCATTAAATTGTAGTTAAAAAAAATAAAGATATTTAATTAACTAATTTTACAGTGAAATAACTTTAAATATTCCATACCATGGGTTCTGGGCACTTTTTACAAATAATATTAGGTCCTCCATTATTAGATATCATCTGAAATCCTGGTAGACACACACAAGAAGTTCCTAAAAAAGAAGAGCCAATTTTAATGTTGAGCAATAAAAATGAAACTCCAAGATAGGGAAACTTTTGGTAATTCTTAAGATCTTGAGAGGTAGTATAATAGTTAAGGGCCAGACTCTGGCAACAGTGCATCTGCTTTCATATCCATAAACATATTCTTTGGGTTCTAATTTCAATTCTGCTACTTAGCTGTGTGTCCTTGAAAAAGTTACTGAACTTTTCTGGCCATCAGCTTTCTCTTTCATAAATGGGTATAACACCACTATCTCATAGGGTTAGTACAAGTATATGTAGAAGTCTTGGAATGTGTCTGGCATACAGTAGGTGCTGTGTTTGCTACTATTTAAGTGCAAGCATAACTAAATTAGTAAATTATTGGACTAATAAACTAATAGTCAAACTACTGATTAACCATTATGGGAAAGTTTACATTTCTATTTTACCCAACCATAAACATATATTCAATGAATTCAAGTTTACTTTACCAAACAAAACTTCATAAAGAATATTACCTTAATTCAAATAAGCCATTGCTTTTTTTTAATTTAAAAAAAATTTTTTTAATAGAGGCATGTTTTATTTATTTATTTATTTGTTTGTTTATACATGCACTGGATACAGTCAGAAGCGCGGGAGGGTGAGAGAAATCGCCAGAGCCAGAGCGGGGAGCAGAGCAGGCAGAAGGACCGAAGTACACTGCTGAGGGGAGCAGCGGGCCGCAAGAGAGGTCTGCGCACCATGTGGGACCCTCCTCCAGGGCGGGGAGCAGCCGGGGATCCAACAGGCGCCGCAGCGAGCAGCTTCGCAACCCAGCTTCGCAACCCAGCGCTCAACCGCTGCGTCACCGGGGAGGTCCAAGCCATTGCTTTTTTAAATATGTTTGGACAGATAGTAAATATTATAAGGTAATCACTGTTCAGCACTCTGGAAAAGGACAGTATTCTCTAAAGAGGTATAAATGGAAGCAGTACAGTGCATGTGATATCTGGGTTCATAATTATCAAACCAACAGCTTACACTTACTTTAAGTCTGTGAACTGCTTTTTCATTCATTGTTCTTCACTTGAAGAGCCTGACCTGACCTATATGATGACTTAAATGAACATATCAAATTTAGAGATGGCTGATAGTACTAGATGAGTCACCAAATTGAGATTGAAAACATCTTACACTTTGGGTAAAGTTTTATTCTGAGCAGTTTCCCAAATCCTAACGAAGATGGACCTGTTGGTCCCTTCCTGCTCAATGTTTCTAGGATTTGCAAAGCAAATAGTGCTAAATAACATCCTCCCCGTCCGGTCATTGGCTCCTCTGCACCTCAGATTACTTCCCATTTCTTTTCTACTTTGAGACTGGCTTTCCAGATGCCTCCCTAAAGACTCCTCAGTTGAGGTGTGCAGGTCTGGCGCCGAAAAATTAATTACGAGCCCGAGTTCAAGGAGTATCGGACTGAGGGTTTTCCAGCCTCATGTGTATGCAAGCTGCAATCCTCCAGGAAATCCTCTCAGGCGTTGGCAGTTAACTGTGCTAAACCATGCTTCACACAGACGAAAAGGTGTTTCAACAAGTCCAAGTGTTAGGGAGAAATGATGTCCTGAGCTAATCCCATACAGGCTTTGTGGACTCCACTCCCAGTCCAGACTAAAGCCATCAGGACATTGGGAAAGACAAATCCCATCACCACCAAAGGGAGGGTGGCTGGGACCTGAGGGTGGAGTTGGGCAGCCAGGTTGGGTATAAAAACCAAACACGTGGGCCTTGGGGTGGCTCACTGTCCATCGTCTCCTGGCTTCACGGCTCCTGGCTCGCGGCCAGCTCTCAGAGTGCCATTTTGGGATTCCTGATCGGCGGATCAGGTAGGACTCATTTAAAACTTTGTCTCCCACTTTTCTCCCTGAGCTGTACATTTCCTCATTTCCCCTTCCCTTGTAAATAAACCTTTATTAACCTTTCGCGTGTGCCTGCAGTAGAGCATTGATAAGTCCTTTTAAGCGCGCGGGTGAGGACCCACAGTCAGGCACCCCGTTTTGTATCCGGGTTGCTCTACAACACAAGGACTGGACGCAACACCAAGGCGGGAGTGTTACTTATCCCAGGGCCCAGCCCAAACCGCCTCACCTCGAGCGTCCCGCTTCTGGTTGGCTCCACAGGGGACACAGGAGAGCGCGGAAATATCGAAGTATTCGTTGTGGCCGCACATCTCGGGCTGCCGGAAAGGAAAGGAAAAGGTCTGGGCCTGCGAGACGCCAGGGAGGACCAACGAGAGGAATGCAATCTCTGCCGCCAGCGATAAGATGCACCAAGCCGCCATTGCTCCCCAGGCTCGGCGCCGTCCGTCACCATGGTGCAGACGCCGGCGTCCCAGGAGCCTCTGCGGCAATTCTACAGAGCCGATTGGACCACTCCGACCAGGAAGTTCGGGTGTCCGCCCGAGATGCCTGGTTGCTAGGTTACCAAGGCCGCCGGATGCTGGCTAGAGAGCTAGGGGCGCGCCGACTTTTTAAAACCGGGGGATGCGACCCATGCGTGGGAGTTGAAATCAATTTAGGGGATCGGGAAATAGAAAATCACAACAAAGGAAATATCTGATTGTGTCACATAAATTATGAGTAAGTATTGTTTCATTTAAACTGTTGGATGTTATTTACATCATAATTTATCCAGACTAGATAATTTTCATGTTCAAGATTTTCTATAAAATACACGTCAATGAAGTATGAAAAACATTAATTTTAAATATACAATAGTGGAATAGTACTATGTCTCAGGGGCGAAAGAGTCGTAGAGGAGAGAGTCAAATATAAGAGGAGCAATAATTGACCTTCTCTTGAGCAGGAAGGGATCAGAGTAGGAGAACCATTTCGGGGGAAGATGGTCATTTTCTCTCAGACTGGAGGAAAAGAGGAGAGATGAATAAAGCCATAAAGAAGTCCTGGACTGGGGTGCAGAGAAACTGAGCAAGATCACTTTCCTTAGTAAGGGAAAAGACAGTTCTTGGAAGGAAAATCAGAGATGAAAACTGGCATCAAGTCTCCACCTTGCTTGCAAGGCTAGATCATGTTGGAAGGGGAGCAATTAAGAGGATGGGGCTAGGAAAGATGTGGGGAAGAATATACTTCTGTTATGGTGAACATAAGTTGCTGACTCAGGTAGAGAGGAATAGCAGAAATGAATGGGCAGGTCTAGTGATTGAGGAAGAAGTTGGAACTAGAAATGGGAATCATCTTGAGTGTTACAAAGTCTATTATGTATTTGGGACTCACTTGGTAACACATATACTAAAATGGGAATGATTTGGAGAAGGCTAGCATGGCCACTGCACAGGGACAATACACAAATTTATGAAGGGTTCTAGATTTTTTAGTCTTCTTGTGGTAATCATCCTTGCAGGGAGTTAAATCATTTTCCAAACACTTATGGAGCATGTCTATGTGTAGACACATGTCAGGACAAGGGCTATCCATGGTGCTTTCCTTCAGAGACCACATAGTTTGTTAGAAAAATCAACATAGAGACAAATCCTTAAAATGTATTGGAATTACTGTTCTAATTAAGGATGTGTAACTGGAAGATAGGATGAACTCTGCCTGGAGGGCTGGGGGAAGGAAGGATATCAGCAAAGAAGTCACAAAAGAAGAGATATGTAGGACAGGTCAGACTGAGAGCCCAGCAGGAACTGACACAGAGGCTTGTAAAAGCAGTCATATCAGGAAAGTCATATCTCAGTGTCCCTGGGGTGCAGGGTATGTGTGGTCAATGACAAGAGGTGAGGTTGGACAGCTTGAAAGAAATACAAATGTAGGCATTTGAATGCTCATATTTGCTACCACGGTTACAAGCTTAAGACTTTATGCTAGGGACTAAAATTATAAGATCTGAAGTTTAGAAAATATCCTGGAGATACATAGATGCCATCTAGAGTTAGAGGTGACTGGTGAGGCTAACACAGAAATCCAGGGTCTAAATTAGGGCAACTGAAGAAGGAAGAGGCAGGAGAAGGTGAATGAAAGAGTCATTTAGGAGGAAGAATCCTAGGAATTTTTTATGGTTTGGACAGAGGGTGTGAAACCAAGGATCAGTCCCAGGTTTCTGATTTGGGTAGCTAAGATAGATAGAAAATATGTGGGGTTGATAAAAGCTTTCTAAATGCACCTTATTGAATAGATTAAATAAATAAATTTAAAGCAAAAATGAAAATTATAGGGGTTATTTAATATGTTGAAGGCAACTAAGGCCATGGATAATAATTGAAATAATTTCATTAATTCCTTGCTTTCCATTTTCAGGCACTGCAATATTTCATTTGATCCCAAATTGGTACCACCATGCTTTGCAGATGATAAAGCCAAGGCTCAGAAAGCATGACCTAAGGGCACACTTAGGTCATCATTTTAACCTGGGCAGTTTGACATCAGACCCCACACTCTTTTTTTTTAAGATTTATTTATTCATGCATATGAGAACCAGGGTACAGGCCAGATGTGCGGGAGGGTGAGAGGATTCACCAGAGACTGAGTGGGGAACAGAACAGGCAAACTGACTGAAATACATTGCTGAGGGGAAAAGTGGTGAGACAGGAGAGGTCTGCCACGCCATGTGGGAATCTTGCCAGGTGGCTGGGATTGAACCTGTGCTGCAGAGGCTGCAGGCAGCTTTACAGCGCTATGCTCAACCGCCTGCACCACCAAGGAGGTCCAGACCCCACACTCTCAACCTTGATTCTTTTTTTTCCCAATAGCAAATGCATTTATAAAAAGAATAAATAAATGTGAAAATAACTGTGCTTTAATTTTTGGAGGTGTGAAGAAAGTTATTATAATGTAATATTACTGTATTTCAGAGCTACTATATGGCTCTGCTGTTGCTAAGATAACATGGTGTCAGAGTGCTCAGCAGTACAAACTCCGGGGCCGGTATGGGGATGAGGGAGGTGTGCCTTACTCTATAGAACAAGGCGGGGCTTCACTTTAGGGTCTACATATATGTGTGCTACTGCTGCTCTAGAGAAAACCAAAAGGCAAATGAGAACATGAGGGGATTGATGAATTGAAAGTCTACAAAGAGGGTAAAGAGAAGATTCAAAGTGCAGAAGTGGAGGTTGTGGTTAGGAAGGGAAATAAATGAGTTCAAGGTCTTAAAGTTGGTGCACTTTGTGTGGTGAGCCCTGCACTTTCCCAATCTCTAGACTCTTTGTGCCAATGACTACTATATTTAAGCAATTGTGGTGTCAAATTCAATACGTTCCAGACTGAACTTGGCTTCCTTGATGAAACACTCCTGGTTTTCCTCCAGGTTATTTCTAGAATAAGCTTTCTGGTTACTCCTACTCTTTGCCTTTTGTAGGCTTAGTCTCCCCTACTTGGTTATTAAATATGGAGTATCTGAGCCCTCAGTCCTAGACTTTTGCCTCTTCTCATTCTTTGGTTCCCCTCCTTGGTGATGTCAGTTATGTCTGTGACTTTAATGACCACTTTTAGCAGATGACTCACATCTTTATATCCAGATCTGAACCAGTATTTTCAATTGCTGGCTTGAAAGCTCCATCTGGGTAGAATGAAGCATTTTTCATTAAGGGTATCTAAGAATAGCTCAGTCTCCATCCTTTTCCCCCTTCCTCCTTGTCCTCTTGCCACTAGTGGCCTCTATGTCATTTAATGGCACCATCATCCAATTTGTAATCTAGGCCAAAAAAGCACTTTGATATTTATTTTCCTTTATCTTTTCATTTCAGTCCATAGCAAGATTTCTTGATTTTCTTCTTCTCAAATATCATCTCTGAAATGTCTCACCCAAATTGAATCTTTTTTTTTTTTTTTTTTTTTTTTTTTAAAGATTTATTTTTATTTATTTATACAAGCACTGGGTACAGTCAGAAGCGCGGAGGGTGAGAGAATTCACCAGAGCCAGACGGGGAGCAGAGCAGGCAGAAGGACCGAAGTACACTGCTGAGGGGAGCAGCGGGCGGCAGGAGAGGTCTGCCAGCCATGCGGGACCCTCCTCTGGTGGCCGGGGAGCAGCCGGGGATCGAACCGGCGCTGCAGAGGCTGCGGGCAGCTTCGCAACCCAGCGCTCAACCGCTGCGCCACCGGGGAGGCCCTGAATCCTTTTTTTAACCTCTACCTTCACTGCATCCTAAATGTTATCTTCTCCCATATGAATTAATGCAGCAACGTGTTTTAAAAATTAAATTTTTAGTTTTAGACACTATCAATTGATTGCCTTTTATGGAAGATGAAGGTTTGCTTTCTACAATGCATATTTTCTGAATGTGCATTTCAGATCCCCATCTTTTATATTTATTTTAAAATTTCAATTAGAGTAGCAATCAGTTCCACATTATTGTAACTACTTAAAGCCTATTCCCAACTGAGTTATATGCCATATCACAATTTTTGTCTTTTTCTTAAGGGAATAATTGTCTTCTTTGCTCTTATCATGTACTTACCATTTTTTACTGAAATTTTCCTTGGAAGTAATAACCTCTTTTCGATGTGTTTAACACATTTACTAAGTGCCAGGTTCTCCTCCAAGTGCTTTTAATCCTCATAACAGCCCTTTAAGGTAGGTATTGATACTCCCAAATTGAGGTACAGAGAGAGAGTCAATAAGAACTGCAATTAAGATTCAGGCATCTTTGTTCTTAGCAACGATGTTATGAGGTCTCTTGTCATGGGATTAAAGCAAGAATGATGAGAATATGTAATCTATTAAGCTGGAAGAGGTAAAGAGGGTGATGTTAAAGAAAGAGCTCCAGGGCCTCCCTGATGGCACAGCAATCTGCGAAGCTGTCCACAGCCACTGCAACACGAGTTCCATCCCCCAGCCAGGGAACTACCCGCATGGCGCAGACCTCCCCTGCCTCGCCCGCTGCTCCCCTCAGCAGTGTATGTCAATCTGCCTGTTCTGTTCCCCACTCTGTCTCTGGTGAATCCTCTCACCCCCCTCCATACCTCTGACCTGTACCCCAGTTCTTGTATGCATAAAAAAATAAATATTTAAAAAAAAAGAGCTCCAATTTAGTGGATTGCATATCCTCTAATTTCTTAACTTATTTCCTGGTTTGGCTAGACCATATATTTCAGCATCTTCCTGAGAGAGGGTGCACGTGATGAAAATGTGTATTTCCCCCTCACACTTAATAGATTTACTTGGGTGTAGAATACAGTTGGGAAATAATTTTCTCTCAGAATTTTAAAGTCATTGCTCTTTTTCTTTTGTTTTCTAATATACTGTAGAAATATCTGTTGCCATTTTGACTTTTAATCTTGTGTAATTTGTTTTCTGCTCTCAGGAAGCCTTTAGGGTGTTTCCTCTGTCCTCCTTTTTTTTGATGCTTACACTGATATGTCATAGGGTGTTTCACTGTCTTCATGTTGAGCATTTGTTAGATCATAATAATTCCTTTCAAATACTCCCTTCCTTTTTCTCCCCCCCCCCACCCCCGGATATCTTTTTTTTCAGATATTGGACCTCTTGAACTATTCCTCTAATTTTCTTATATTGTTTTCTCCATTTTATTTTGTTTTGCTCATACTTTTTGGAAGATTTTCTAAGATTTACCTGTGAAACATTCCAGTGAACTTTTTGTTTTCACTGTCATTAATTTCTAAGAGCCCCTTTTTATTTTCCAACAACCTTATTTATAATATCCTAGTTGTCTTTCATGGATGCATTTTTCTTGAACACATTACTGTCTTAAAGTTTTCTTAAACCTTTAAAGATTCTGCCTGCATCATCTGTTTCTTCAAAGTTATGTTTTTGGGGGCCTCCCTAGTGGCATAGGGGTTAAAGCCTCAGCACTGTCAAGCTGTTGCCAGCAACTGCACATGAGTTTGATCCCTGGCCAGGGAGCTAACCCACATGGCACAGCAGACCTCTCCTGTCTTACCCGCTGCTTCTCTCTCAGCTGTGCATTTCAGTAGATCTGCCTGTTCTGCTCCCCACTGTGTCTGGTGAATCCTCTCACTCCCCCCCCCCAACACACCTCTAGCCTGCACCCTAGTTCTTGTATGCATAAATAAAATTTTAAAAAATCTTAAAATTTATATTTTTGTATTAAGGCTTTCTTCATTAATCTGGTGAATCTTTGCTATTTATGTATGTATGTGTATATATATATATATATATATATATATATATACTTTGTCTTTGTACTGTACGTACATTGGAATGGAGCACACTGCAAAAGCTAATTGGAAGACTTACAAACTAGGTGGAGCTTCTTGGCATGTCTACAATGTCCAGGGTGATTTGTCTGGGCAGTTCATAGGGCATTCCCATGTTGGTACATTCTATCCCCACTGCTCACCCCTTGTTGTGCTAATAAATTTCCAGGCTCTTCTCCCTCGAGAATTTAAGCCT